CTTATATCTATAATATGTAAGTGTTTAATTACATATAGTGTCATTTCTATTTCTATATAATTAGTTATCTATTCGATGTTTGTGTTATTTTACAAATAGCAACTTCTAAAATCATATTTGGCGTTGAGTTTACGATTATATTACGTTTATTTATTAAAATAATTTTATTGATATTATTAATTAATCCGAAGTTCTAAAAATAGTACACTAACATGAAAATGAATGGCTTAGTTGACTTAATATCTGGTACAAATTCAAAAACAACAATAAAAGTATGCGATACAAAATCTGCCGTTCACGTTTGGTGAAAAAATTTCACTCCTTTTAAAATTTTTAATGTAACTATTTAAACGACATTCGAACCTTTAATATTACTTAGTCTCTCAATAGGTCAAAAAATTTGACTTTTAACAAGAAGTAAAAGCCGATTTCAGAGAACTAAAACGAATAAATTGGTTCCCACATAAGCATTCACTTTAGATGTAGGGGCTCTATCTAATACTCCCATACACCATGTCTTAGAACTTATCTTTTTTGTTCTTTGTGGTCTTTCCCGCTTTTATTCACACACACGGTGTATTCAGTTTAAGTAATTTTTTCAATCGTTCGTGGAATCACATTTTCATTTTGGTTAATAGCTTTAAGATCTTTTCCTGACAATTCATTGAATTTTGATAGCGCTGAAAGTAGTAATCACTTGAACTTGCAGTACGACTATTAACATTATTTGCAATATGATAAAGCTACAAATGAGTTCATTTTCTTGTTTTCAATATTTATTTAAAAAAATATTAAAATATATAATAATTTTGAAAATTGGATCAGCAGTTCTAGAGATTACCTTCCAAAATCAAATCGCTATGCTTAAAACCACTTTACTTACTACTACTACTTTCTACTTTCCTTTAAGAAAATTACTTTTTTTACAATTACTTTATAATTTGGCAAGGGCCTGCTTGATACAATTAGCAAAAATAACATCAATGGAATCGCTTTATTGTCCGTACGTTCGACTGTGAGAGGCCATTATCTCTTGATTATATATTTAACGAACCTAGAGTGTTTTATGTTTATTTTGAAATAGAGTTAATGTTGGTTTTTGTCATATTATATATTATGTAAATAGTATGTGTATAGTATAGAATTTTTAGCAAAAGGAATAATGTTATTCCTATTGATTTTTATACAATAATTTAATATATAACAACAAAATAAATAGAAAACACAACTTTTCCAAATAAGAGAGTTGTAGCACTCCACAAGTTTAAGAATGATGCTAAGGCTGTCTTATACCCCGTTCCTCGGGGGTACTGTCGTTTCGCATATATTAGCGTACGTATCGGTCTAATTTTGTGCAAACATCCGGAATATATTATTGTGTTCCGCATATCCGCGGTCCATGAATCCGCGTATTTTCCGTGTAAAAGCGTTGACAGTACGCTTTGAAAAGTATAATTTAATTAACGGACCGCTAAAGCCCTACACTCACACCCTATACTTACGTCATCCTTAAGGTAGCCGGTAAGAAGATGGCTCCAATATTTGAATTAAGGTGCTCTAATTATGCTCAAGCCATTTAGAGTAATCTCGTGTAACTTACATTTTGAGAGCATTTTCCGTCGGGCTTAAACATCATTATAAGTCAGCTCATCCACAGTCGCACAGGTCTTACAATTACTTAGAATTCCTCCAAGAGCAATCATATCCGCTATTCATTTTTATAATCACGTTTTTGGAAAAAATACGTTCAAATATTACTCTATGGACAATCCCTATCACTTAAGGCATCGTTCCTAAAAATCTGAAAACACAATTACTGAAAAATAAGACATAAAAAGCCCTCTCAGAAATGAAAAGAGACGTGTGCCAAGTAGTGGGACGTAAATAGGCTGTATTTTAAGAATAAAAACCCAAAAGGTTGGCTTCATCGTTCAGCAGGCTGACATCAAAGGAATGGAATAAGTTTCCAGTATTTGCCTTTCCAACCCACTACAATATGGTTGTCTCTAAAACAAGAGTGAATAGGCTTTGCCCTTTACCATTTTCAGCCTCATTACCATTTACCATCAGATGGGGTCTATCTCTTGTTTGCTTGAATTCTAGGTTAAGAACTGGCTTAGAATAGTTAAAAAAACTCAGTGAAAAGTAAGATGTTAGTGGCTTAGCAATGAGTTGCAGCGCTAAGTGCCGCGGGTTTGAATCCCGCACTGAACAAGTATTTGTATGGCCTACAAATAATTGTTCCGGGTCTGGACGTTTGTTCTTGTGAAATGTATGTATGTAAACTAATTTATGTGTGTCATGACGTACAGAAGGAAATTCTATTGTGAAGGTAACGTGTTTATTAAAGATCAAAAGAGAATAGATCAATTATCTGCAGCCAATGGATAACAGTAACCAACTTTAAAGGACAAAAGATACGGTTATATTTTACTCCTGAAGACTAAAATGTAAATTTTGTTATGATACCTGATGTTCTCAATCTTAAAACCCAAATGCGACAGTTAAGGCAAAACGCGATATTGGGAGGTGCGAGGGCTTTTTTCCAAACTGATTGGTGTGTATGAAAGAAGCCATGTCTGCCACCTATAAATTACATAGTTTTTGTTACTTCCTAGGTATTGTCATTTAAATATATTTCTTTTAATAGAATAAAAGTTACAAACGAGCACACAGTGCACCTAATAATCCTGGTCACCTGACAATAAGTAGTGACATAATCCCGTTGCTGTAGAAATTGGGGGAGTTTGGATCAAAAAAATGCGACTAGTGGACAGTCCTCTCTTGATGTTAACCTAACACTACCTAAAGAATTCTGAAGAGACCAAAACAGGTGAAAATTCAGATTTTCACCTGTTTTGTCCATCCATCCATCATATATCCATCATATAGTCCACCCCTGAGGGTGCAAGGTAGGACTATATGATGCATGCAACTTTTCAACCAAGCTCTCTCAATTTTTGCTGAGTGGCTAAAGATGTGTGTAGTCCGTAGTTACGATGATGAAAGACCACCTTTTCTGTTGTTCATTTCCAGCCAACTCACAATTACTTGCTAGATTCTCATTAGTTATTTGCAGTAGAGATCCGAATCGTGGGTTTTGCCCAGCCCTTTCAATCCCACTATACACACAGCATCATCTTATTGCGTGTTAATGCGGCTTTCGCTACAGTCTGCGGAGCTTGACTACCCTTCAAAGGGTATGGTTCAAACATGATCTTTTTCACATGTTCTTGTCACAGGTGATCCAATTTTCATACCAGTGATCAATCTTTTCAAAAATGATTCGATTTCATTACGTTTCAATAGAGAATCGCAAATTAATATGAATGAAAAATAATGATATGAATCATTCATTTGGTTTCTTTCAGTGAGCTCGTGTGGTACAAAATATCGAGCTTTTTTGCAAAGCCATACTTTTTCAAATGGGTCAAAACTATTTTGTGGTCAATCATCAATTTCTAGGCAATATTGTAAATACTAATATGTCAATCTTGCTCTACTTTTTTAAAAGTGGCATCGACTTTATCCGTATGAGGGCGACCAGAACGAACTGCGTCTTTGACATTAAATTTGAACTAACTTTGTGTTACTCTCACCACTACTGAATTAGGTATATTAACGTCAAAAATGTTTTTCGTAGCTTGTGTCGAATTTTTCCCTTTTTTGTAATAAAATTTCAGAATGTATCGAATTTCGACGTTAGATTCACTCATTTTTGTGGACAGAAAAACAAATGAAAATGGCAGGAAAGTGTTCTTTACTTTTTTTTCTTTTTCTTAATGTTCTAGATGTATTCTCTGCATGCATGTATATATATATATATATATATATATATATATATATATATATATATATATATATATTATAATCGTATATAGATTTCACATTCCACAGATGAGAAAATACTATCACGGTAAATCTACGCTACAACTTCCGTTTAGAAGATACGTATGCAAAAGAGCAATTATATAGTGTACAATCTATGGGAAATATACTATTACGGACAATAGGTGAACAGTTTAAGGACAGACCGATGATACATGACTATAAATAACTAGATTTAATAACTATATACATTTTGTATCACCGACTTGCACACGATACTAGATTGAACAATTTGAAAAAAATAAATAGCTGATGTGACCCATTGACATTTACATATATTCTCAGTTAAGAGTCTAAATGAGGATGCGTTGTCACCCCTGATGACTAACATAAGTTGCCTCGTTTCCAGTAAAATCGATCTTCGTTTTTCTACACTCACCATACAAAACACAGCAGTATAAAGCTGCTACTTTACGCTGGTATTATATGAGTGCGTGGTCCTTCCCTGGTCAAGCTAACCTATTTATTTATAAATTTATGGACACACACAAAGTAGTATTAAAATAAAAAATAAAAAATATATATTTTGTACAAAGGCACTGCTTGTTTCATATTGAAATTTCTTCCGGCAATCCGGATACTGGACAGATTCAAAGTGATGCATATTTAGTTTGCACTCTCATAATAAATATTATATTATTAATATACCTTATATATAAAACAGTATATATACAACTACATACATACATGATACATAAACCTAAATACATATAGATACACTTATATGACTAAAATATAGCTGCAGCGTGGCACTACCACGTAAACAATGATCGTATAGTGTGTTTATAAAAAGTAAAACAATATTAAATAAGCACAATCCTATAAGAATACCTGTTATGTAGAGTGACCATCATTTTCTTTATCGCCATTACATCGTTCTTTTATTTATTATTATCTGAATGAAAGGAAACAGGTTTGCACATCTGGCAACAAAACGAGCTTGATGAATAAATAATAACTTTAACCATCAGTATATCTTAAAATTACGCTTGAATCGTATGTGCTCAATCGCGTTGTTTTGTATTCTGTTTTATTGCTACAATTTTCAAATTGTTTCTAAATTTTATAATTTTTACATCTATTATCTATAGACAGCATATATAGTAAGCAAAATGAAATACGTTACAAAATTTCTTTTAATGTTTTCTTGTGGTGAGTGTTTTTTTTTTCTTATATTAATGTCGTGATCACCGAACTTACAGTCTACCTAATGTTAGTGGTTACTGCGATCCATGGACACCTGCATGCAATTTCAAACAAAGATGGCTACGGCTTCGTTACCACCTCTGAGGACTAACATGGAATGCCTCGCAGCCTGTCATTATAAGTACTGGTTCTCCATACCCTTAACACTAAAACACAGCAATGCGGTCACTTCTATATCGTACCAAAAGTAGACGACAGATAACCTAACCAGATGTACTCCTCATCTCCTCCTCGACTCTTAACATATAATAAAAATATTATATAATTTTGTACATTATATTACAATATAGATCAATACAGACAATATAGTAGTGATTTGTATGATATATTCAACTTGTCGTGTTATATTACGCCCGTTAAAGTAACTTATCTTATTTTTTAGCAATATACGTGTTACCGTTAAATGGTTTGCATGAGTCACAATTTACTTCGTCTTCAAGGCTAAAAAGAGTAAGTTAACCTTTTTTATTATTTTTTAAATATAACAACATAGAATACATAATTTCATATTAAATTTATTAAGATCAATTTTTTACCGTACTTAACCCTACGTAAGTGAATGCATCGCGCCATATCAGACCGCGAGTGATGTAATCAGCGACTGGGTTAAATGTCAGTATGATTTTAGGCCTCAGTTATATTGCTGAATTTACTTCATATGTATGTAATTACTCTGAGAATTTCACATATCTGAGTTTTTTTTACTCACAGGCATTCATGCTTCCTAACGATGTTTCGCAAGTGGCAAATAAACGTCCATTTAAATATTCTTAATAAGCAATAAAAATCAACATTTTTATCGAAGTTGGCTGCTTGCGTTTTTTTTTGCATAAAAGAAATCCTGGCGAGTGTTTTACCCAAGAACTACAAAATACCACGAACGAAGGTACCTGCAACTTTTAAATATTATACTACTGCAAAAGGTCAATTTACTGTAAGCTCGTTCTGCGTAAATCGGACCAAAAATTAATATATAAAAGTTGAAGGTAGCCTTCGTTAACTATGACATCGGAACGTCAAGCACCGCAGTTCCCCCGTGACCATGGGCGCCGGAAAGTGCCCGAAACGTTAGGAATTAAAAGAGGTAAAATTAAACGCGAAAGAATCCGTAAAATTAGCTTTATTCCATGGCCTAAATAAAGTATATTTCACCTTTCGTGGTCAGTATTTTTCAAGAAGTTAGACGTAACTACGAGTATATGTCCCAGGTATTTAAGTATTAAGTAATTAACCCTAGTTAGCTAAGTATCACTCATACGACCACGTCCAACACCAAAGATAACATCCTGATATTTTTACTCATTGTATTATAAACCGCGTTAGGGCGCGAATGTCCCACAAACACGTTAAAAATTTCTAAAACCATATCAACAAACATATCAACTGTGCCATAAGATCTGTATAATCTGTACAAATAAATAAAATTGAAATGTCTGTTTGTAATGTCAAAATAACGTCTTTTTACTAAATGCATATGAAAGTATATTCGGTACTTATAACAAAAAACAATTTTAAGAATTTTTGTTTGTCAGTCTGCCTGTTTGTTCCGGCTAATCTCCGAAATCAACCGTAATAAATTGCAGCCGGAGGAAATTGCGGGGAGCAGCTAGCTTGTAATTGTACGTGTTCTTGTCGCACCCCGTACTCTAACATATACGGTGAAGACAATGTAATGACCTATTTAAATAGTTATTCTAGCCTTTTTTCTGGCCTTCATACAAATATTAAGTTTAGGTTTAAGATATTATTTCGTTTACGAGAAATAAAAAATTTACAAACAATAATAAAGGAATCCATTACGAGCATACAGAATATTAACTATAGATGTGGGTAAAACGTAAACAATTGTACAAATTGTAATGACCGAACAATTAATGCAACCGAAAGAGAAATAAGAGTGCGTACAACTGATTTAGATTTAATTTTAGCTTGTATTTTTTTGATCAATTTTCCAAAATATGACGTTTCAACAACTTTTTAAATAAAGATGATAGTTTTGATTCTTTTATATTTTTAGGTAAAGCGTTATACAGTTTTGCACCATCAATAATTATATTTTTCTTACCATACTCTGTTCTAACTTTTTGTAAGTATGTATATCATGGGCACTTCTAAGGTTACGATTATGAAAGTCTATATTTTTTTAAGCAATATTTACGAATGAATGTCGTTTTTAAGTATTTTACGAAATTTCTGACTCAAAACTATATAAAATGGGGAATTTAATGATGGTAATCATGGTTTTACACTTACACAATTACGTTCCCTGTATGAGGTTTCACGCTGGCTTTGATAACGATAGGGACAGAAATACTGGTAGTCATATTACGGTCACTTTTAAATCTTTTGCAGGGAGGTCTACCAAATAATCAGCAAGCAAGCGATTCAATGACTTCTGAAATCCAGGAAAATCCATGTAATACCAAAGAAATTAAAAAGCCAAACTTTTACTTTCCTGGTCTCCGAAAAAGCGAAACGAGTATGTTGTACAAATATCCATAAAATTAAGTAATTAAGAACTTTTTACTAGGTATTTTTATTAAAATAATATTATTCACAAATGTTTAAATTAGGATAAATTTACATAAAAAACAATATCTGTATGAACAAATTATTCAATTTGATAATTACCAATTAGCACTTTAAAATTACAGCCTTATATGTCTCATTGTTGGACAGACAGATTTCCTCTCATTTTTGAAAGAGTTTTAGGGCAAACAAGTATCCGCGATGCCCCAATGCGTGTAGACGGACTTTATATATCTTCCAAATATTTTTTTCTTATTTCGCAGACATGCCGGTTTTCTAACGATGTTTTCCTTCACAACCAAGCACGTTCTTTTTATAGGATAAAGTGACAAAGCAGTATACAGTTCATCTGATAGTAAGTGATTACTGTGGCCTATGGACATATACATTTATCCTTGATTACGAATTAAAATACAGATGCATTATCACCCGTGAGAAATAATATGGATGCCTCGTTTCCAGTAAAAAGGGTCTCCAGTTCCCTACAATCGCCATACGAAACACAGCAGCTTTCAGCTGCTATTTTACGCTGGTATTCTGTGAGAGCGTGGTCCTTACCCGGTCGAGCCAACCCCAACTTTACTATTAATATAGCTGGAGCATGGCTCTACCAGGTAAAAAAATTATTTGAAGTCATATAGTGCCGGTAAAAAAATGGAACAAAAACTCTAATTCATTAAAATATCATATATAATATACTAGTTGGCCCGGCAGATATTCTAGCTTTTCCGGTAGAAGTTTTAGTGTAATACAATGTAAATATAAAATTTAATCAAGATCAAACATTATATCTTTATTACTATGATTTAGTCTATATTTTGTGGTGACCCATTCGTGCTACAACTATACAATAATATAGCTGCAACAGGGCTCTACTATGTCAAAGACACATGGTTAATCAGCGCTTAAAATTGCAATTTCATTGGTGCCGGCGGGGATCAAACTCAGTCGCTCGCGTATTGCAAAACTTAGAACGAACGCTTAGCCCCAACTGTCACAAAAATACTCGAATAACAATAAAAGTTAGACATTTAATATCCAGTCACGACTACAATTAAAATTGTTACTTCAATGATTAACTTCAAAGGAATTATGTTTTTATTAGGTTCGACTTTATTTTATTTTTGAAATTAAGCGTGATAAACAAAAACACAGTCCACCTGACGGTAAATAGATGTTGTTATCCAGAGGCAACTACATTTTATCCTCGATTAAGAATGAAAATGCAGATGTGTTGTCACATAGAACAAAGATGGAATGCCTTGTTTCCAGTAAACATGATCTCAGTTTCTCGCCACACGAAACACAGCAGCATTAAGCTTCGACTTTAGGCTGTTATTATGTTAAAGCGTCATCTTCCTCTATTATATATCTATAGCATGGCTCTACCACGTATAAAGTAATGAATTTTGTACCATGATCATTTTCATGGTACTCACTTAACGTAACAAAATTCTTATTCATTCTTGCTATGGAGACACCCAGATTGTAATCGGACGAATAGACAGACGCCGGTAAATTAATCCACTACTTTGTAGAGTAGTACACTGTGTTCAGGCAGCCTTATTCCTCAAAATTTCTACTGTGGCTTTTACTTTAGGCTTACGCAAAGGACAGTTATATTCCTATCTATGGAATAAGAGAATTATTTTAATTTTTATAAAATATTAGCTGTACCCGGCCACGTGTTGCTGTTGCTCAAAAGTTTTTCAAAAAGTACTAACATAAAATAATATCGTAGTTTTGTCAACATTTTACAACTTGTAATTTTTTTTTTTTTTGGAGATTTAAGATTATGAATAAACGAAAAATATATTTTCATTTATATTGTTAAGAAAACTGTATTTGGATAGTTTATTAAATATTTTTACATAATTATGATATGTTAAAAATATAGCGTGGAAATGAGATAATTAGTATTCTTTTTTACAGAATGTTTTGAATACATTTGGGAAATAGAGAGGCGTGAAGATCAGTCCAAAAGGGACGCTGACTGTAAGTATTCAAATCAGTTTAAAAACATAACATTTCTTCAAATTATGGTTGAACGATAGTAATCATTGACTGTTATACCAATTCTATTAGTGTATAGGCACATAAACAACGACCTACAAAAAAATAATGAAAACGAAAGAAAGAGGTAAGAAACACTAGATCATTGTCATAAAATTATTATATTTTAAATTATTTTTATATCCGGCAATAGGTGAAAATAAAATTAATTCATACATATATTTATGTAGAATATGGGTGACACCGAGCACACTGTCCACTTGATGATAATTCATTTAATTCAAGGATTCTCCGTCAAGAATCAAAATGCAAATGCGTTTTCACCCCTGAGGACTAAGATGTAATACCTCGTTACAAGTAAAAAGGGTCTTCAGTTCTCTCACCGATCATCTATCACCAAAAGCAGCACAGCATTATTGTTTTGTTTCACGCATGTATTCTGCGAGAGCGTGGTCCAACTCCGGTAAAGCCGATCCATTGATGATGCAGTGGTGTAGTCAATATATTGCTGTAGAGTGACTATATCACCTACAAAACAATATTCATACAGGTCAACCTAATAAAAAAGTGTTAATAAAAACAACTGTTTTAATAATTTCAGGCTTAACCTATATACTAAGCCAACCTGGTCCAAACAAACCACACTTCGCCGTAGGTGGTAGAATTACAGAGCCTGGTGAATTTCCGCATATGGTATGCTAATAAAAATTACTACTATGGAGTACAAATATATATATATATATACATACATATATATATATATATATATATATATATATATATATATATATATATATATATATCAGTTTTTATTTTTAGGGTGCTGTAGGTTGGAAAGCGACATCAGGGTCGTGGGTATTTAAATGTGGTAGCTCCTTGATCAGTTCTAAATTTATGCTGACAGCTGCACATTGCTCAAGAGTGTCATCAAGAGATACAAGTATAGCAAATACTACCCCGGAGATCGTGCGGTTAGGCGATAAAAATATCATTGATGTGGTAAGTTGAGGGTATTTGTATGATCTTGCGAGGATTTGCAAGCACACATGTCTCATGGTAATTTATCAAACTTTAATATTGTCAAAGTGGGAAAAAGTCGGAAAAAGTGTTTTGTTGCATCTAAAATAGTTTTCCGGACAATTATATCAGCCGAATTGCATTATAATCGGTTAAAGTTGGTTTTAATCTTCAATGTTACAATTACCCTTACAGCAGATACAGAGTATCAAATTATCTTGCAACACTAAAACATCAATCATACAAAGATAAAGCAATGGATAGTTAAATGGCGAAAAATATATTGCATTATCTAATTCAATTATTATCATATATAATTTGTCATGACAAAAATCGTCAAGGGAATATTTGTATATCGTTGAATATAAAGAAAAGTACAGAAAGGTTTTACGCTAGAAAGAAGTTATCCAATGTAGTCTCAAGTTGTGCTTTTCAAGTGGTAATTTCGTATCTTTCATACAATATATAAATAGTTGAATATAAAAGTTGTAACAAGAGGATTTTTAGAAGTTTTCAATGATTTCAAAAGGAAGGATAGGCCCATCTAAATATTTTACTTATAACTTTTTCATACAAGAAACAGTAGCACATCTGTCGTAATACAAACGTCATATCAAAACACGACGCAACCAGAGTCTGATTTCTTAGTATAATTATCCTAATTGTAACATTATTTCATAGCTTGTAGTACATAGTATCGTAATAATACTAAGCGGAAATACCATAGTTAACCCTACGATTGATATTACTCTAATCTATGCCCTACGATATCGAGAATTTCTGTATTGTACATGACTACCGCATTTTTTAATAAAGTTAGAATTAGCTCCCTTTCTGGTCAATCGATGCTCGATCGATCCTTTTCTTTTGTACTCTTTTCGTTTTATCCTTATTGAATATAATATATATATATATATATATATATATATATATATATATATATATATATATATATATATATATATATATATATATATATATATATATATATATAAGGTACCAATATTCAAAATTTAACTTACACTAAGTTCTTTAGACAAAAATTAAACAGAAATAAAAATAAAATTGTCAAAAAACAAACGTATAGACAAACTAGACGCGTGACGCCAAAACCCCGGCACATGGGAAAAAATAAACATGAAACGTCAAACGTGATATATTTTTTAAGTAGTATAATTTTATTTTCCATGTACAATATTTTTGAGGGTCTGAATCCAACCCTGGCCTAATCTTGGTAACGTAACTTAACTAACTATAAAATAAAACTTTAAAAATACGTTTATATAATAATTTAATTGTAACAAAATTAATATAAGGTTATTTACCGATGATACGATATCCCATGTTTTTTTCGTCATATATATCGTATCGTAATTTTTACATTCTTTTAACACGCAACTAGACATATTTGTGACAGGCAAATCTGTCCTGCACGCGCACCAGTGTCGACCGATTCGCGTTGACCCTAAATTATAATTTTAGGGCCAACGCATTGGTCCGTTTTAATTGTTCGGTCGGCCCGGTCCTTACGCTAGTAATATATAAGTCAATGGAAGTTTTTGATTTATTAGAAGATGGTTTATAGCAAGAGTAACCTTAATACCATCAATTTTCATTAAACATTGCAGAAATTACATAGAGTGTGTTCTAAAATATTTATCACATTAAAAAAGAAATGCTAGCTAATGCTGCTTTTGAAAAAAGATGATCACTTCAGCAAACTCATAACTAAACTACGTATATCCCATAGTACTACTATTATTACTAGTATTATCTTCTTTATATTTATAGTGCTTAAGTTAATGATCGTATTAATTCTACACGACTTAATGATTAAAGTCACATACACACAAAATAGTTTTGTCGAGACAATGGTCCATAGCTGTGCGCGAATGTGATAGGTGGCGCTGTAGTCAATATATTAACAGATTATAATGCATGATTTTTACGGTCTGGAAAAAATAGAGTGAAACAGGTGACCGGAATGTAAGCGTATATTATTAAATTCATCTTTCAATAAATACTACTATTTTGAAATAAACTTTTGGCATTAAAAGAATCAAAACAAAATTTAGGAATAAATAAATAATACAATTAAAAATTATCGAAATTTAAATAATAATCTCTCAATTAGTAGTATTTATTGATAGACTAATTTCATATTTATACGTGGTAGTCATGCGGCAGTTATATTAGCAGTATAGTTGTAGCACGAATGAGTCGGCTCGACCGGGGAAGGACCACGCTCTCACAGAGAACCAGCGTGAAATGGTAGCTTAATGCTGCTGTGTTTCGTATGATAAGTGTAGAGAACCGAGACCCTTTTTACTGGAAAAGAGGCATTCCATCTTGGTCCTCACGGGTGACAACGCATCTGCATTTTGATTTGTAATGGAAGATAGATGTAGATGTCTATGGGCCGCAGCAACCGCTTACCATCAGGTGGACTGTGTGCTCGTTTGTCGCCCTATCCTATATAAAAATATATTATGTTAATGCACAAGAAAAGAAATTGTAATATATCAGTGCCATAGGTTTCTATTCCGTTCACCTGTTACAACCCTATATTTCCAGATGGTAAAAAAATCACTTAGTATACTTATAAAACAAAATTACTCATATTCACAATGAAATATTAGTTAAAGAGAAGAAATTCACAAAATATTAACTAAATAGTAGTTATTAAAATATAATGTTGATAAAATGAAAAAACAAAATATGAAATTGCAGCACGAATAGATCTGCTCAGTCAGAGAAAGACCACGCTCTCACAGAATACCAGCGTAAAATAGCAGCTAGAAGCTGCTGTGTTTCGTATGTTAAGTGTAAAGAACCGAAGACCAATTTAACGAGAAACTAGGCATTCCATCTTAGTCCTCACGTGTAACAACGCATCTGCATTTTGATTCGTAGTCGAGGATAGATGTAGATGTCTATTAATCACAGCAACTACTTAATATCAGTTGGATTGTGTGCTCATTTGTAACCCTTATCGTATAAAAAAAATACCTGTTCTTACAGTTTGACAAAGGACGTTTTCCATACGATGTAAAAATTAAACAATTTATCGTACATCATCAGTACAAGGCTCCGAAAAAGTATTTTGATATAGCTATTATACAACTAGAAAATGAAGTGTTTTTCACTAGACATATACAACCCGCTTGCCTTTGGACCCATCGCGATACCAGTTCTCTTGGAACGAAAGCTACATTAACTGGATGGGGTGTAATAGAAACAGGTAAGTGTCTAGACATTAAATAGCAAATATTTTAAACCATTAAAGATCTGGTTTCAAAACAGATTTTATATTATTTAAAGTAAATTCCTTGATGTTATTACGTATTACTAAAATTTACTAAAGTTTATGCTAATTAAATTTCGGATATAATAAAATTGATCGTAATGAAGGACGAAACGTTCCTTGAATATAATTAAAGTTAGTTAAAGTTACAGCCTATATACGTCCCACTGCTGTGCACAGGCCTCCCCTCATTTCTGAGGGGCAAGAAATAGGGCAAGAAAGTGTCCACAGCGCTGCGTCGGTGGGTGTTGGCAAACTTAACATGTATTTGAATTTTTTTTCCTATTTATCAGTCATGCAGGTATCCTCTTTCCTTCACCGCCGAGCACGTGGTAAATCAGCACTTAGAATTGCAATTAACAATATCATTAGTGTCGGTGTGGATCGAACCCGGGTTGCTCGTGTACTGTAAAATTTACAGCGAGCGCTAACCATCTGAGCTACTACGGCTCATCACATTGACTCATAACTTAGATATCAACGGGATATTTTTAACGCAAATACAATATACCACCAATAGAGCGGTAGAGCCACCTCCCTCTACCCAACTATTTAAAAACACTTAAATGTAAACTACGTTTACTCAATAGTGTCGTGTATCATCAGTCCCACAATAAACTAAAACTTTACGAACTCGAAGATTTTGTTGCAATTTCTCTGATTCCTCAGGGTTTGATTTCAGATTATGTGTCATTATATTGTTTATAGTAAAACTCTTGTCGACTGCTTCCTTGGTCTAGTGGTCGTAAGCGCAACTGGTGACCAAGTGATTCCAGGTTCGAATCAGTCAGTCCGTATTCACTCTGTATTTTTAGTATTCAATAGCAGCCTGGAGTTAGAAAATTGGCGATGTTACACCACCTTGCCTCAAAAAGCACGTAAAGCCGTTGATCCTGAGCCTGATCGCTCTCTAGTTGTGTCGGATTTTTGGATCATCGGACTATAAGATTACGGGCATAGAATCTGCCCCGGTACTTGTACACACACTCGTGGAGTACAATCTTGTTCTGTGCAGAGGGATGATTTCCATTGGGAGTGGCAGCCTTGACTGAAATTCAGACTGAAGGACATTAAATAGAATACTGAGGATGTGAAACTATTGGTTTCTGTTATTAGGCATTTTTTCCGGATTTTTTTTTATTTTAGGAAAATATGCATAATCTAATTCATATATTCTTTATATTTTTAAGCAAAGTTAACAACGTCTCCAGAATTACAAGCTGCCGTGGTGGATATACTAGATTCAGCACTGTGCAATAATTTGCTGCAGTCCTCATGTAATCGATTATGGTGCGGAATGACAGAAAGTCAACTTTGTGCTGGAAAATTAGCTGGTGGCGTTGACGCATGTCAGGTAAAAATAAACTACAAGTTTTATTGTTTTGTCTTTAAAGCAGGTCTATATCCATGCAATTGCCGTTTTGTTGGAAAAAATTAAAATTAATTACTTTACAAACAGAACTTAAATTATTAACACTATTTTTCTAAACTATTAACACACTCTTGCCTTTTTTTTGGACACTAAATGTTTTTGCTCTTGCTATAGAATTCCGCTGTGCGAGAATTTAATACGTGGTAGAGCCATGTTGCAGTTATATTAGTAGTATAGTTGTAGCACGAATGGGTCGGTTCGACCGGGAAGGACCACGCTCTCACAGAATACCAGTGTAAAATAGTACCTTAATGCTGCTGCGTTTCGTATGGTGAGTGTAGAGAAACGGCGACCCTTTTTACCGCAAACAAGGCGTTCCATCTTAGTCCTCACGGGTGTCAACGCATCCGCATTTTTATTCGTAATCGAGAATAGATGTATATGTCTATAGGCCACAGCAACCACTTACCATCAGGTGGACTGTGTGCTTGTTCGTCACCCTATATTATAAAAAAATTATAGATGTAGCACGGATGGGTCGGCTCTACCGTGTAAAATAGCAGTTTAATTCTGCTGTATTTCGTATGGTGAGTGTATAGTGCATTATGAGACCATTTTAACTGTTAATGAGGAATTCCATCGTAATTCCTAGGGGTGGCAAGGCAACTGCATTTTGATTCTTAAACGAGGAATGCTAATCCACTTACCACCAGGGGGACTGTGTGCTTGTTTGTCACCCAATTCTATAAAAAATCGATGAACTCTAACGGCTTTCTGAAATTGTTGCCCATTAAAAATAATCGAAGCTTCGAAAACATTAAAGTCCTTTGGGGCAAAGTTTGGAGAATATGGTAGATAAGTCGGAGTTTCTAGCTTTAGCTGCCTACGTCTGCTGCATGCGACCGGGTATTATTATAAAGAAGTAGTGGAGAAGAGAGTTTCAACCACCGAGGTTATTTGAGTCAGGTCAGCAGTAAATTTTGCACCAGCATTGTGGAGTCATTTTACGCGGAAATTATGTTTATATTCCTTTATTTGCGCTTCAGCTTTAATACCCTGCAGTGTATGAGAATGTTTCATCATAAAACACTAATGCCTGTCACCCAGCGGGGTAGGCATAGACTACGGACTTCTATTTGGCACGATTCTGACACACAAATCTCGCCGCCTTTACTTCCATATATTCACGCGTTCATGCTCTTCAGTTAAGAGTACTCTTTAATATATCGCAAAATTAGTTGATAAACTTTCGTCAAGAGCGTCCCTTCCCAACTCTTCCGTTCATGAGAATATTACTACCACGTGTAAAAATTAAAAAGTAAACTTATTTTATTATACGGAATTACATAGTATATGCAAATAATAATTAGTTTAGTTCTCATTTTCACTTCCACAACCAAGACCTTTGTGATGATATCAAAAAAAAACTAGGTATAGGTTAGAAGGTAGTAGGTAGGTAGTATTCCTGATAAAAACGCAAAATTATAAAAGACTGCGGTTGCCAACCAGCCTGCCATGCGTGGCAAGTATGGCAAAATCTTCCTTATGAGTCAAAGAATAGGGGAGACCTACGTTCAACAGTGGGTTTTATAAGCTGTAATGTAGACTAGTTCTTCGGTATTCAATAGTCAAAAAAATATCTCTGAATCAATTATACATATATTATATGGATTTAAATACATACATAAACTTTGACACTTGTCATCCAAAGGGTAAGATATAGATTACGGACTTCCATTTAATATGACCCTAAAACACCTTTCTCGCTTCTTTCACATCTTCTGATACCCGAGAGAGTAAGCAGAGTTTTAAAAACAGTGAGCTTCAGGTCACGTTAAGCAAAAAAAAATATGGGTTTCGTTAAAATCACAAAGTAATTCACAAAACTCAATATATAAGATATTGAGTTTTGTGAATTACTTTGTGTCTTTTACGACATGCCAGGGAAGTGATATCGTGTAGTGTAGTAACAGTGTAAGAATATCCACTACCCCATATCCTCCCATGGGGTTGAGGTACCAGTAAGAGTTAACAGAGGGATACTGAAACAGGAGATGGGCAGCAGTATTTTTCTGAAAACAACTCAAATAATGAAAACTGCGGTTTCCAATGCACCTGCCAACTGTGGCAACTGTGGGAAAATCCTTCCAATAAGGCAATCATAATCATATTTTTTTAACGTGGTAGAGCCAAGCTGCTGCTATGTTGGTGGTATTGTATAGCCACGGCTACAGCTATATATGGTGGTATATGTTGTCGGGAAGGACCACGCTCTCACAGAATACCAGCGTAAAATAGCAGCTTAACGCTGCTGTGTTTCGTATGGTAAGTGTAGAGAACCGGAGACCCTTTTTACTGGAAACGAGGCATTCCATCTTAGTCCTCACAGTTGACAACGCAGTTGCATTTTGATTCGTAATCGAGGACGTATCCTCGATTACGAATTTGTGTCTGGCCACAGCAACCACCTACCCTCAGGTGGACTGTGTGCTCGTTTGTCACCCTTCTCCTATAAAAAATCTACGGGAGAGGCCTATGTTCAGCTGTGGACTTTTATAGGCTGTAGTGGATGGAGGCTAATGATACAGCTTTTATAATATTTTTTGTTTTATTTCCCAAACAAACACGGCCTGTGATTCTCAGAACAACAAAATTTCAGGAAAATTCAATGAATTTACCCATATTATAAACGGTACCTTTATTTTGCTATAAAAAAGTTTTACCTTTCTATTCTAGGGTGATTCTGGAGGACCTTTACAAGTGAAGATAAGTTTACCTACTAATAATCAAGGCTCAATTCACTATTTGATAGGCGTTACGTCGTTTGGTATTGGATGTGCTCGTGCCAATACTCCGGGTATCTACACAAGAGTATCAAGTTTTATAGACTGGATAGAGGACACTGTATGGCACGGAGAAACAAACATGAGTATAACAGGCGACTAATATAGTGTAAATTAATACCTAATATAAAAGTATTAACTAAATCTGTGCTTTTTATTTCCTTTTTAATCATCATCAACAGGCCATTTAAGTTGAGTGAGTACAAAGACGTAACTTATTTGTTTTAAATTACTCTACGAGTATAACCAGTCTGCGAAATTTCCATTAAGACTTTTGAATAGATATTCGGCTATGAGTCGGTGATCAAAGACTCGCCGTATGCAAAACGCTTCTAACATCAGTTACACCGTGGAGTAGCATTAGTCACGTCAAAATTTTTTTCAAGTGCAGTCACGCTTTATACAGACACGGTAGATGATAAATTCATAAAAATCATTCTTTATAAATATTTATTTAGTGCCCCATTTACATTCAGCCCTGTTAGGCAGGGAAGTGAGCAGGGCAGTGGGCAGGGCAGTATGTAAACAGGCTACTCGCGCTGACACTGCCGCTGCTCGCTTCCACTGCCCGACGCTATTAATCCCTCAAATGTCGGTTTTTCGTACAGAAGTCAAAGGACGGGCAGCGCGAGCGGCAGTGAGTGTTCACATTCAGCTCCATCGCTCACTTCGCGCCAAGCGCCTGGATGAACGGACGTGCGTGCCGTCTTGTTATTAAATAAGTACGATCTACCAAAATGTCTTTCGAGTGGAATCAGAAAAAACTATGGGATTTCAACGATAAAAACCACAATTCATCATCTTCTACGAATACGAACTATCTTTTTGAGATAACATTGTACCTATGTACATAATTAATTATAAATTCGTCAAATTTATTATTTTAATATAAAATTCAGTTTAAGTAATTAATTAACATTGACATTTTATTTCAAAAATCGATTAGTAACTCATATTGATTATTTACTTATTAAAATGTAAAATAAGTAAAATGGTAATATTTGCATAATAGCCTGAGATTTTTAAATTATAATTTTATTGTAAATTATGAATTAATTTATACTGTAGTGTAATTATTAAAATAATAATAGCTTAACTAATCTCATATAATATTTAATATTATTTATGTTACAATAATGTAATAATTCAATTAATAATTTAAGAACAATTTATTGTATAAGAATTCAAATAGAGTGGATCTGTTGAAAAAGAATGTTTGTACATAACTTTTAAGTACCTAATGATATAATTTTAAAATGTAACATTGGGTTTGTGTAATTGGCTATATTTTATATAATTTTTGTATGCCAATTATGGCAAAACATGTCAGTTCCACGTCATTGATTATCTTATGTACCATGTTTTTAAGCTAATAAATTTTCTATCTATCTATCTTCTTTTGAACTTCATATCTTTTTAAATTATTAACATAATTTTGTATTGCAAGAAGACACAGCGCGGACGCTGTAATTATTTCGACGTCTGCCATAGTCGAAAGCCGAAAGCGATATGAGTGGTAGGGCAGAGTGTGAATACACACTTCCCGCGATCCTGCTACGGCAGTATTTAGAGAAGTATTGCCGGCAGCGCGAGGAGCAGTGGCAGGGGCTGAATATAGATGAGGCTTAACGTACATCATGGTGTTAAAACACTATTCTTCTATATCACTATGCTTCTTATCTTAATATTTTATTTCTGAGTAACAGAATACAGAAAGTCGTTATCAATGCTAAAATTTCTTTCGGGTAGGTTTCTTAAGGGCTCAATCACACTAGAAATACGAATGAGCCAAACATTCCAGTTTCTGGACTATATTTATAACTCACCTTCCCTCTTTGTGGATAACCATGATTTTATAGTATTATATCCAAATGATACTTCCTTGGTTTTGAAATTTAAAGGGCAAATAATAAATATGATGCAGGTAAATACCAAAATTGGAACATGGTTTAATTTCAGTATACATTAAATTTCAGTATTCATACTATTAGTATTCACATTCAATAAAAATAGAGCTATCCGTCATATAAAATCTACATTATTAAAAAAAATCGCTGGTTATTGATTCCTTCGGGCTTTAACTATGGTTTAAGAAAATTTTAAAAGGGTAATTGATTGCTAAAACCTCCGGCTATCAAAAAATTTGCAAATTAGTATATTAACTTTGCCTTCTCAATAAAATATTTACGAAAATGTAGTATGAACACAAAAACATTTTAATATAAAAATTAGTGATATACATTCTGTAAATGCAACGGACATGCCCAAGTGATACCAGCAATTGATGAAATTACTTCACTCTTTTTTTTAATGCCGACAACAAAGCTGCATTTATTTAATAGAATAAGGGTGACAAACGAGTACACAGTCCACCTGACGGTAAGCTGATGGTGTGGCCCATAGACGTCTACATTTATCCTCGATTAAGAATCAAAACGCATCTGCGTTGTCACCCCTATGGACTAAGATGGAATGCCCCGTTTATAGTAAAAAAGGGTCTCCGGATCTCTACACTTACCATACGAAACACAGCAGTATTAAGCTGTTATTTTACGCTGATATTCTGTGGGATCGTGTTTCTTTCCTGGTCGAGGCGACCCATTCGTGCTACAACCATAATATAGCTGCAGCGTGGCTCTACCACACATAAAAATCTACTTTGTGTTCTAAACGATGCAATCAAAAACCTTGGCAAAAGTTACTGTTGATGCAGTAGATATATAGGCATATATGCCTTTGCCCTTGCTAACAAGCTCAGGGATTCTATGATTGATTTAAATTGTTGGTGATATAAAAATAATTTCCAGTAATAAAAAAGAACGATAAATTTTTTCGACCATAAAAATTTAATTAATACTCATCATTTTAGTATTCTTCACCAAAACATTGCTAGTGTTTTGTCAAAGCAAGATTTAATAGACGTAACTATAGAGGAGTTAAGAGCAAAAAATAATGATCCGGATGTAATATGTCTTTCCGAAACTTTCATAAAAAAAGGTTTTGAGAGTTATGTAAGAATATGTGGGTATGACATGGCCGCCAACTTCTGCAGAGAAAAACAAAGAGGTGGAACATGTATTTTAGTTAAAAAAGGGTAAAATGTTCAATGAATTATCATTCATAAAAAATTATGCTACCCAGAATACGTTCGAGGCATGCGGCATAGAAATCATACATATTAAATTAATTACTATTTGTCTCTACAGAACCCCCCAATCCGACCCAGCACAGTTCTTATTTAAGTTAAACACACTTTTGCATGACCTAACTGTAAAATACAAATCGAAAGTACATATAGTTATAGCTGGAGACTTTAATATAAACACACTAAAAGAAGGCAAAATCACAAACTATTTACAAGATTTGTCCTACAATTATAACTTGAAAATACATTTCAATGTTCCTACACGTAGGTCATCTTGTATTGATCATATATTAAGTAACATTAAAAATGCGACTGCAACATTGCTACTACTGTATCTTTCCGATCATGATACAGCACAATTGTTAAGCTTTCCTATAAAAGGTAAGCCACAAAAACATGCTATATATTATGTTTACAAGAGAGACTATAACTTAGATAACATCAGGAAGTTTAAAGAATGCCTGAAGAATTTGTCATGGTCTGAGGCATACATGGAAAATGATGCTAACACAGCATTCAACCGATTTCATGAATTATTCTGCCTTTTCTACTATCTCTGTTTTCCAAAACAACGAATTAAAATAAATTTATAAAATAAAAAACAAAATTGGATAAGCAAAGGACTCAAAGTAAGTTGTAAAGAAAAACGAATGTTAAGATTTAAATATTATAAAAATAAAAGTAAGGCTAACAGACTACGTTACCTATCATATTCTAAGCTCTTAAAAAAATGTGTATTTAATTTAAAAAAGAATGCTAATATTAAGTTTATAAATAAAAATAATAACAAATGTAAAGCAACATGGACCATTATCAAAAAAGAAATATCTAACCAATATGACAAGAAAAATATAGAAAAAATTATAGCTAATAATAAAGTTCTTACGAATCCTGTAGATATAGCTTCTGCCTTTAACAATCATTTTATTGATTTGACCCGTGAATCAACAACACACACTAAAGCGAAAAATGTAACCATTAACAGCCCGAATGTCAACTCTATGTTTCTTAGACCTATGTCTGAAAATGAGGTTAGAAGGGAAATAATGCTATTAAAAAATACTAGCTCTGAAGGCCACGATGACATAAACACAAAAATAATAAGAAAATGTATAATTGAATTAATTGAAATCTTGACATATTTAATAAATTTTTCATTTTCGTGTGGAATCTTTCCAGATACATTGAAACTATCAATAGTTAAGCCGCTTTTTTAAAAAAGGCGAGAAAGATGATATTAATAATTATCGACCAATAACCCTAATATCCGTAATATCAAAAATATATGAAAAATGCATGTATAAAAGACTTACTGAATTTTGTAATAAATATCACATTATATCAAACGAACAGTACGGCTTTCAAAAAGATAAATCTACAACTTTGGCGATATTTTCACTCATAAAAATGATACTATCAAATATCAATAATAATAATATTTCACAACGGGACTATTTTTTGACCTATCTAAAGCCTTTGACCTAGTTTCACATGACCTATTGTTACAGAAATTGGAAAAGATTGGAATTAGAGGACCAACCCTTCATTGGATAACATCATATCTTTATAATAGAAAACAATGTGTTATTATTACTAAAGCCGATGTAAATGGGGACATAATTCCATGCTCGTCCGAATACCGAAACAAGAAATATGGCGTTCCACAGGAGGAAGTGTTCTCGGTCCAATTCTGTTTTTGTTGTACTTAAATGACATTGTTAATATTACGAAGCATAAATGTATTCTTTTTGCTGATGACATTTCAATAATCGTGACTTCCAATAAAAAAAATAATAACTTGAGTGACCACGAAGCTGACATAAATAATACAATAGATACTTTAATTAACTGGGTTGACATACATAATTTAAAAATTAATTTAGACAAATCTTTATATATACAATTTAATAAATGCACTAATAATAAACATAATATTAAACTTAACATTCCAAAAATAA